GGGTTTACGTAGATGATGTGCTGGTGTGGGGCGCGAACGATAGCGAACATGAAGAGCGCCTACGAGCAGCTTTGGGTGGTGCTTAACGTAACGGGATCACCCTGAATTCAGAAAAATATGAAATTGGTGGGAAAGAACTTGTTTTTCTAGGTGACGGAATTAGTGAGAAGGGAATTCAGCCTTCACCGGACCTGATTGATAGTGTCTTGCAGCTACCAGTTCCACTAACAAGCAAGAGCTCCAACGAGTCCTTGGCCTCGTCACCTACTTCGGAAAATATCTGCCTCACGTTTTTTTAGAAAACAGCCCTACTGCGCGAGCTGCTCAAGCATGACTGAGACTTCACATGGGGACCAGAACACAACAAGGAGCTGGACAGGATCAAGTTTGCCCTCACCAACGCGCCTATTCTGGCAGTCTACGACCCGAGCAAGCAGACGAAGGTCTTATCAGACGCCTCAAGGTATGGTCTCGGTGCTGCACTCTTTCAGAAGCATGGCTCCGAGTGGCGACCAGTAGCGTACAGCTCAAGACGCCTAACAGATTGCGAAACCAGATATTCCCAAATTGAGAAGGAAACTTTGGGTACTGTGTACGGCTGTGAAAAATGTCACGACTTTATTTATGGCCGGAAAGTACTCATAGAAACTGACCATCAGCCTTTGATTGCAATATCAAAGAAATGTCTCGGTGACATGCCCCCCAGGTTGCAACGCCTTTTCTTGCAATTAATGAAGTATGACTACCACTTTAGCAATGTTCCTGGCAAACTTCTTGTTCCAACAGACACACTATCCAGAGCGCCAAGCCCCTCTAGCCAAACGGTACCGAACGACACCGACGACGTCGAGGTCCACGCGATCTCTGTCTGTTCCAGTGTGTTGAGGGAAAGGACAGGCAGAATGCTTGTAAAAGAGACAGCACGAAATCCTGTTTTGTCAAGGGTCATAGAAGCTCTTTTAAACCATCAACCGCTCATTGGCCAGTACACGTCTTATGCCTCAGAACTTTCAGTCATTGGTGGTCTGCTGTTGAAAGGAACCAAAGTGGTGATACCCAAAGTGCTAAGACCCGAAATGATCTGGAACCTGCATGGGGGTCCCTTGGGAGTAAATAAATCAAAGGCAAAAGCTCGTCGATTGATATTTTGGCCCGGAATGTCTCAAAAGATCAGGGATATAATTGACCGGTGTCAAACGTGCAAGGTTAACTCGTATGCTCAGCCTGAAGAACCGCTGTTGATGAGACATCTCCCGCTTCTCCGTGGACAAAGAGTAGGAGCAGACTTACCGTAAAGTACCGGGCAGGCGCCCACTCAAAATTTAGAGATAATCGAAAAAAAAAATGGGGGATGGGCCTTTCAATTTTGCATATAAATGTACTGTGCATATTTTTTCATATCTTAGAAATTTGGATACGGGTGCTTAATGTGGAATGGGCGGATGCGCGATATTTTACGGGATGTCAACATTCGGGCAAAACAAATCTGGCTCTCTATGGCGCCCACTCTAACTACCCTGAAGTTGAACAACTGGAAAGCACCACAGCTCCTGTCGTTATATCAAAACTGTCGTCTATATTTCCTAGGTATGGCATACCGCTCGAAGTCTTGACAGATAACGGGCCCCATTTCAGCTCCAAAGAATTCACGACATTCGCAGCAGACTACGACTTCAGGCACATTACCTCGAGCCCTAGATTTCCGCGATTCAATGGGATAGCCGAGAAAGGTGTGCAGATCATCTAACGTATCCTGAAAAAGACTTGCTCTGCAGGAGGGGACTTCTATCAAGGTGTGCTGAACTACAGAAATTCGCCCCTCGAGTGCGGGCAAAGCCCAAGCGAGCTGCTGATGGGACGTCGTCTACGGTGCGGCCTACCAGACTTCACCACGTCAACGGGTGACCGCCCACAAAGCAGATGCAGCTGCGCACCACCAGAGGAGCACTACCAGGACTGCGCCCAGGGAATGTCGTTCGAATGAAAAGTGACAAGGGATGGACGACAAAGGCAAAAGTCAAGGACCAAGTTGCTCCGCGTTCCTACAAGGTTGTCACCGAGGACGGTGCGAAGTATCGCAGAAACAGGCAGCACTTGCGGACCACTCCAGAGGCCTTCAACATCGACAGACATCCCGAGGAGTGGACCACAACGCGAGCTGCACAAGAAAGCCCAATAAAAAACTCTTCAGGCGAGACCTCAATGGAGTCGGAGCCAAGAGACCCCCCGCTTCAAGACCAGGGCGGTTCGCAGCCCAATCTGGATGTTGGTCCTCCTGTCAGCGCTCGTGCACCTGACCCACCACCAGTCCGACATTCTAACCGGACGCGTCGGGTTCCATGAAGACTCAGCTATGACAGCGATTTTGATCAAGAAAAATATTAAACACCTGTGGGTAAAGAAAGGGAGGTGTAACGGCATGTAACGGCATCACTAGCCTCATCTGGCAACAATGGCCTAGAAGCGGCTAGGCATTAAACCGGCTCCGACGGGCGGTTGAGTCGCAGCACTCATAACGTACACTTCGTCTCCAAGGTCTTTACTAACCACCCATTCCTAAAGTCGTCAAAACGGGACGAGTGGCGGAGGCTCCGTGATCGAATTTGGCTACGCACTCGTACTCCTAGCCTCTGTACCCCGCAGAAAAGCGCGCTCGACGACGCAGCTGCGGCTTGGTTTAACTTGGAATGAAATGATTGGACACGTTTTCATTTTCGATATTTATTATCAGAAGCATGGTGGCACTATAAGTACACGGAATTCTACGGCTCTTGCAAATTTAACCAAGATCATGCAAGGTGTTCACTCGGAAACGTAACGCACAACTAAAATAGGTCCGATCGGGTCGTTTTTAGCGCACGCTATACTATTGTGTATTGCCTACACTCTTAAAAAAAAGGAGTAGAACTTCGTCCTTTTTGGGGACTAAGTCGATGTCACTGAGAGTGATCCCCAAAAAACGGCAAAACCCCGCTTTAGTACCTCCCTTTCTTTTAGTCCCTTTCCATTGATCCCTTCAGGTCCAAATTTTGAACCGTTAAAAGGAGCGATTTTGATCCCTACAGCAGGGCATCAGGGACTAAGTCTTATCTCTTCAGGGGATTAATTATGGTCCCTTGAGCGCCGTCGCGTCCATAATTGGAGGAGCACCTTTGATCCCTTTGGGGATGATTGGGGACTAACATTTTCGTGATCGGGGACTAAAATTCGTCCCTTTGGAGATTAATTTTGCCACGTAAAGGGATGACACTTATAGTTATCAGGGAGTAACTTTCGTCCCCTTGGGGATCAATTTTACAGTAATGGGGGACTAAATTTCGTCCCTTTGAGGATCAATTTTGACACTTTTAGAGACGAATTTTACAGTAATAAGGGAGTAACTTTCGTCTCTTTGTGGACGAATTTTGACACTTTTAGAGACGAATTTACTAGTAGCGATGCCCTTCAGCTGTGACCAGGAGTGAAAGGTTTGCAGTTTTGAACAGCTTCCTATTAAGAAAAGTTAGATTGTGCAACTTGGTATCTCTTCTGAAAAGTTGCACAAAGCGCCTTTTCAGAACAGAAAGGTATTCAATACTGCAGACCTTTCAATCCCATGCACAGCTAAAAGGTGAAAATATTGCAGAGCATCTGAAAAGTCTCGCACCTTTATTTGGAAAAAGCAAGGCGCGTTGCCAAACAAGCAGCAAGCATCATGTCCAACAATAATCTAAATGGTAAAGATGCCTGCAAAAACTGGATATGCTCGAACTCTCAGGCATGCTTTAACAGGCAACATCTCCATTTTTACGAAAAAAAAGCTAGACCAGGAATCTGTAGACAAGAATTCACTTTCATTGTGGAAATATATTTATTTTATAACTACAAAACACTAAAAATAAGAACAATTGCACATCACAAGTATACAAAAGGAAATACTGCCATCTTGGCACTGAAGCACTTGCCAAAATTTAACACGACTAGCATATTGCAACATTTAGCATGACTAGCAAAACTCGGTAAAAAAAACCATTTCAATGTCCGTTTTGTTCCTTGTGTAATGAAAAGGACTAAAATCAAATACCTTATTAAAAAAAAAAGCTCCCATTATAAAATGAGGCAGCAAAATGACTAGCATATTTATATATAAAAAAAACCTGGCAGGGGTTTGTGACTTTGAGGAATATATGTGCTAAAGAGTGACCCAAAGTCACCAGGCTCTATTAAAATCGACTAAAATTCTATGCCCGCTCATAGCACTGAACTTTTCGTCAAAGGTGCATTTCGCAAGTTGGTTTTTTTCTTGTAAAATTACGAAGTGCAGCTCTCTCTGTAAAAACATAGGGTGAAGAAACTTAACAGGGTCTACAGCCGGCGGCGACGCAGACGACCAAGTCCAATGGCGGACAGTGTTTGGCGCTCGTATTGCTAGATGGCGTCGGGAGCAGCTTCAGAAGGTGCACCCGTTCAGCTGAAGAAAGCAGACGAAATCTGTTGGCAGCAAAAGCGCCGACGTATTTTTTTACTTGTAAGTTTTGCTTTTATTGTTTGCATGTATTTTTCTTTAACCAAAGGTACATTTCAATAAGCAGTTGCGGTGAGGAGGTAGCGCCATCTACAAAACAATGCGAAACATACCCCGCTACTGGACGTTGTCGTTTGCCTTGTTGCCCGCCGTAGACCCTGTCAAGTTTCTTGGCTCCATTTTTTATAGAAAGAGCTACGCTTTGCAATTATACAAGAAAAAAAAACGAAGCGCGAAATACACTAGACGAAAAAGTTTTGATTGCTACGTGAAGGAATCGATTTTTACGGTCCATTTTAGAGCCTGGCGACTAGGGTTACCCTATATTTATATTAAAAAAAACCTGGCATAGGTTTTTGACCTTCAAGAGTAAATGTGCTGAAGAAACTAAAAATAAAATGCATTTCTTCAATGCATTACACAAGCACAAAAAAACTTGTTTAGCAACATGTAAAAAAAAAAAGCCCCCAAAAAAAGAAAGGAAAAAACCTTAGTTTTATGGTCTTTTTGAACTCAGGGCAGTGAGCAGCCTTGTGCCCATGCAGCCCAGCTTTGAGTGTTTCAGACCTGCAAGTCTTTCGAAACAAACAAATGTACGACGACACTTAACGAAGTACTGAAGGTCAAAAACCCATGCCAGGCAAAAACAAAGTGCTACAGCTTCCAGAGGGCCCTCTGCCTCATAGGCCTGGTTTTCAAAAAGCACACTGCAGCGCTCTGTTGATGTCGTGGGGCACACTGCGATGGGATAGACTGCGGGGCAAGTCTGAAACAAAGATTCAAAATTAAGACAAATTGTATAAAGTCAGTTTTTCTTGTTTTCACCATTGTTTTGCTGATTTTCTTTGTTGCCAGCTACAGTGGTGACCCAAAATACGGACAGTATCAACCCCCCCCCCCCCCCGAGTATCAACTACTAGGCGGTGTGCCACCCCTCTTCTGGCCACAGCACCCTAAAGTTTGGCTTTTACAAGTAGAAGTTCGGTTTTGTGTCTCAAATGTCACCAAAGGCAACGTGTTTCTGCCATCTGGTTGCCGCCCTTCCGAATGAGGAAGCGTTCAAAGTTTACGGCATTCTTTAGAATCCGCCTTCGGCCACTGTATGAAGCACTTAAAGCTTCCATCCTTGAAGGAATGACGGTCTCAGAAGGCAAGCATTGCAGCAGCTGCATCCAGCAGATCAGCAACGTCAAGACCAATGTATTCAATTTTGCACATGCTGGCTGGCGTTTGGCACACGCTCTTCGTACTAACTGATCGCCGCTTCCACAAAGGCAACCAGCACCTGTGAAATATTTCTGCTTTTGCTGAAAATGATGTTATGGTCTATATGTAGAAACACTTCACTGAAGCTTCATATATTGTCCCCCTTCAACTAAGAACTGAACAAAGCATGAATCTGGTCAAACCCGCTAGGAACTTAAAAAAAGAAATTTTACTGTGAGATTTAGCTTGTGAAGAGCCCAGAAAAAGCTGTTTGTTATGAAATGGTAGCTACCACTGAAAACAACCAAGAGGTTCTATTCAGAAATGACAGCTGACATCTCTTGTAAGTGGCTAAAAGAATATATGACAGGTCATTAGACCAGTGAGACTTGATCTAAAACAGGCCTGAAAAATTAGCCCCTACATGAAACAACTAAGTTTCAACATTCACTAAAGATGTTTTACTGCCGAATGTCCGACCGATGCAGGCGATAGAGATAACCAAGGGTGGTGTTTGTGGAGCGATCTCCCGATAGGCACACCAAGCACACAATGGCACTCGCTGGATTTACTCTCATAATGACTGCACCCAGGGGCAGGTGCAGGAATTTCCTGAGTGGGGGGGGGGGGGGGGGTCAGGTGTTGGTCAGCGTACCTTATGTTTAGGAACCCTCTTCCTCTCTCCTTGTTTCACGCCCTAAATTTTACACATTCAGAAATCAAGAGGGAGGTCAGAACATTCGGACCCCCCCCCCTCTAAATCCGCCCCTGACTGCACCCCCAACAGGCATCAATATATGGACTTATTTTTAGTTTTGAACTGCGTCCAACTTAGCCGGCTAGCCACCAAGACAGCCGAAATCATGGCAGTCTTGTTGCCTACAAATTTTTTTTAGTCATGCTGTATATAGTCTAAAATGACGAAAATGTCTAAACTTACTTCGCATGTGATGAAGGAATTGTGCGTTTCTTTCAGCAGGAGTGGAAACAAACAGAAGAAGATCAGACAGTTCAGTTCTGAAAAATAATAATGGCAAAGTTAGCTTTTTCAGGCAACTAACACTTCCAACTTGCATCCCCCAAATTTTTAATATTTATCAGTGGTCAACCCGAACTTTCTTTTTTCCTTTTTGAATGAGGAAAGTTCATTCGTTGATATTCTCACACCAACACCCACCACCTAGTCATGCCACTGCAGTAAATTGCAGCGTAATACACCGAGACCGATCTTTGTGGACCGCTCGAAGTGGGTTGCATTAAAAAAAACTTTAGATGCTCAAGTTACTGCGAACTTGTGAGAATGGCAAAGTATCAGTTTCAAAAGCCTAGTCCCCAATACGCTATCTATTCCTTCTGGCGCGCTTTGGCGACACATGAACGAGCATGGTGCATGAAATGCCCAGATGTTATCGAAGCTAGAAAGTTCACGCTGGAGGCGGGACAACTGAAACTGCTCCCCGTCGTTCTCACTTAGCCCGCGACTAGACCACAACTCGTCCGCACTAGAGATGTCAGTTCAGGCATCACTGCTACGTTCTCGAAGCACGTAGTCTGCGTCATCTAACGAAATCAGACCATCAAAATGGCACTAGGCGAGAAATAAGGCCCCGATTTTGTTTCCTCATATGCACACACTTAATGAACACATTAATCACCCATGCTAGTAATATTTTTGAAACTAATCCATTCAATTATGCTCAGTGCCAAGTGTCACGGCAATGCAACAAAATAGGAAGGCTGTATATAAGCATCACATCAGTAATGCAAATTTATGTTTTCTTTTAACTACAGCCATTCACCAATCTTTTTTAAAGTCACGCATCACCAGACGGTCACTCACAATTTAAAATTAATGTACAGCGGCAATTGGAATTTCAGATGCCATACAGCTCACTCCTAGATCTCAAATTTACATAGTTTGCACCCACCTATAACACGAACCGAGTCGGCACCAATTTGGTTGCCAAAGAAAGCTAGCTGGATTGGGACTTCCGCTAACAGTCAATGAAGGCTTAATTCTAAAGCAGGTATACCTTGTTTCTCGGATTCCTCAACAACATCCATCCGTTCAAGAGTCTTGTAAAAAATATCCGGCTTTGGCTTGTTCTCCGTTATTTCAAGAGCTGCTGTCAGGTTTTTGGAGGCCATCTCAAAGAAACGTTGCTTCAGATTGATGCTTGTGATCCGTTCAAACTCATAAAAAATCTGAAATAAAAAAAAGTTTACCTTTAGTCAACCTATAAATCATAAACTACCCTATAGAAAAGCAGAAGGCAAGTAAAAAAGATTCCCATTTTATTAGGAAACAGAATCATAATTGCAAAGGTGTCAGTGGGTTAAAGACTCGTGGTGCTTGCTTTTGCCATGGAGGTAGTGCCAGTTAAAGGCTATGGAATTGTTATCAGCTTTCTGAAAGTAATTAGTTCCAAGCACATTTCATTATGCTTATGATCACATTTATCTTCGCCCGTGCTTCAACAAATGCTGATAATACTTCAAATAAACAAATACATAAAAACAAGTATGAAGTACCCAGATTCGCCACATAAACCAGACTAACGCAGAATGCGTACTGTTTTTGGTTGGCCAGTTTCGATCAGAGGCATCTTTGGCAAGTTAGGCTACTGATGAAATTTGTTCGAGAATGAGACATGAAAATACAACACATACTACATCACTCAACTTTATGCAAATTGTCCTTTTAGTGCACGATATGTTGCCTTTTACTTCATCTTCTGCATGGTCCTCCTTTCACCTTTTGTATCCTTTTCCGCCTTCCTACGCAGTTTCAAAGATTCCTAACCAGGCTTTCCAAGGCGTGACAGTGCTGTGATAAGACCCTGCAGCTCATTAACTACTGTGTCTAGGGATTACATACAATTGGTGCTACTTCTCTTTTTGGTGGCCACAAGAGTACTATAAAGATTGCAGTTTCCAAGACAGCAAATATTAAAAGTAAGGACACTGAAAATAAAGAACAAATTTCTTTGGGATAACATTATTCACTGCAATGGACGTTAGGCAGACAGCGTTAGCCAATAATCAGTAGACTACAGTCGTCAACTGATTTTTCGGACAAGTCCAATTATTCAGCTCACACCATAGAGTTAATGCGTACCAATGCCTCGATACTACGTCCTACGTAAAAAACAAGCTGGGTTCAGGTTATAGTCGGGTTTTCCGGTACCGCTACTGCCAACATTACCAGCCCCTGCCCATTTTTATAGTTCTCCTCAAGCGCCGCAAACATATATGCGGCAGAGTACGACCGAGAGAGACCAGACCGGTTTTTAAGCCTCTTACGACGTCTTAGGACCGGATACGCTGCAGCAGAGCTAATCCCAAGACTTCGCAAGAGGCGTAAAAACCGGTCCGATTTTTCCGGTCTTACTCTGTCGCAAGAATGAATGGGCCTTCATGGTCCAAGTTGTTTGAGTGTGAAAAGAGCGGCCGTCTGCCATTTTTGTGGTCTTGAGTGCAAAGGTATTTTGCCGATAGGCTTAGTATTGAAGCAAGCTTGGTGGACTAAACATTGTCTCCAAATAGTGCCCACTCCAACTTCGTCGTTTGTGCCAACGAAGGCGCCGACAAAGCGCATCACCTTGATCAAACAGATCAACAAACAAGGAAAAAGTGAATATAAAGCAAAAGTTGCAAGAGAGCTTATATTTGACATCAAGCAAGTGGAAAGTGGCTAATATGCAATGAAAAATGTGTGGAAATTTGACATTTTGGCTGAAATCCGCTGTCTGCCCGCTTGATCCAGACAATCTTGGGGTCCCCCCAGAGTCAAAGAATGGTTGGCAATTGTTATTACCTAAAATCCGTTCACTATTCAAATATTTGTTTCAGCTGGTGCATTCTAATTAGAAATGTCTTGCTCGTCGACAAAGCATGCCTAGCAGATGTGAAAATTAAGAACACAAAATTCTTCCCTGCACTGTTCTTTGTCAAATTTAAGCTGTGAGCAAACAAGATACCGAAACAACATGCAAAAACAGGCAGCGGTCGAGTTCAGCTCGGAAGCAACATCAGCCTTCGCAGCGGAAGCGGGTTCCTGAGCTGATAAGGGTCGCATGGCCATAGAAAAGGGGCACCCTACTCTAATGTCTCCTCTGTCACTCAGCTTTCTGTGCAAAGCAGAATTTAGATGTCATATTTTAAGGATCACTATGGCATATTTTCACAACAGGCAACAGATTTTAACTGGAATCTGGTACGTGAGGTCACATTTGGGTGTTATAGCTTTGAGCTCTCTGCTTTGCCTGGATTCAAAACTCACTCGGAACCACTGAGGCAACATCTGCCAGGTGAAGCAAAATATTTAAAACATTGAATAGCGGATTTTAGGTCCTTAATTTGCTCAATAAACTCCACGATGTCTGCTCTGGAGGATAAAGTGTATAATCTAGTAATAGCTGCACTATATATGAAGAAATTCTGAGGGTTCACTTTTCTGCAAAGCATGCAGATTGTCAATCAACCCCGATCGACAGCATGATTCCAGGTGTTTACAGGACAGAGATAATGTCTTCGCAAAGATACCATTTGTCTGGAGAATCGTGTTCTCGATATTGTTAATCCCTGTTATTTATGTACAACGTAATGATTAGCTGTACATGTGTTCTGTGGGAAAGTAGATGCAAGGGCCTTCTTCATATACAGCGCGGCTATTACTCGAGTAAATACGGTAAAGTCGTCCCAAAAGAATCAGCTCTCCATTTCCAGTGTCCTCTTTCCTTATTTGCTGTCTTAGGAAGAAACACCCACTTAATAGCTAGAACACTTCTCCTAGGCACTCAGACAGAACAGGGGCAGAGCATTAGACTACTGGGAGAGAGTTTGGTGGCTCGATTCCTGCAAAGGGACAAAGGGACTTTTGTAAAGAAACATGGCCATGTTATGTTTCCGTTACAACCCATCGTGATGCTTGAGACCTAGAAGCCAGCCCTAAAATGCTTTGTACGTTATTAATTAAAAAGCAAGTAGACTTGATGGCACTAAGCGAAATATTACCTGCTGTTTGAGCTTAAGGGCCGGATAATCCTCCAACATGTCCGAGATTGAGGCGGCCGAGCTGACAAGCTCTCTCCTTGCTTGGAATGTCCTTCCCATGGCGTCGTTTACAATTTCCTTGTCAGGGACCTGTTTCTTCAACTCTCTTTTCATGGTGTTCACGTGGCCAGCGACGCTATGTCGATCCTCTGACACGTCCAATGCTCCAAACTGTGCACACTTGCAAGCAACAAACAAACTTGTTCAGTAAATCTGCTCATCACCCCCCGTCGAAATTTCTTTCCACTTGGCCTTATGTTGCAGGCAAAATATTGGTTTGGAGCAGCCACTGACGATTTTGGAACAGATGCCAATATTTGTTAGCATATCATTCGGAAATAAGAAGTTATTGTATCTCTAAATTAGTTCATCTGTGGCAATGATTGATTGTTCCTCTTTGCAACAGGAGCATTTTACTTATTACGTTCGCTGATAACAGTAGATAGGACGCAAAAGTAACACTGAGCCTTTTTTTAAGAACTAGGGCTCTGTTCAGAGTAGGTTCCATTTACAATGGGTACTTAAAAACTGTCAAAAAAATTATGTCCGCCTTGTCGATGAACTTTTTCTCAAACAATGCGCTTGCACCGCCTGTGGCAGCCTCTCCATGCCTCACTGGAACCCCTTTCTGGTGGTGCCTCGCACCCATGAGACAACCACTTTCAGCTTATCAATGAGCCCAAAATGATGTCTTCACAGGGTTTTGTTCATACCGCCTAACAGGTGATAACCACTGACGGCACAGTCAGGCCATAACCATGCACGACTTAACATTGAATGGTCGTACATTTTGTCCAAAGATGGCCACACCCCATTGCCAGTCTAGCACGGCATCGTGTGCATTCTTGTCAAGCCGGAATCGGCTGGCACATAATCGGGTTTGGCCATCTTTCTGACATGTAGTACAACCAGCTGGACATTTGGTCGTGCATTGCTATGGCCTGACCGTGCAGCCAGGAGCTACGACCCTTTCGGTGGCATAAAAAGCCTGTGAGGATGCCATATCCTGAACATTGATAAGCCGGAAGCAATTGTCCAGGCTTAAATGGGAGGCACAAAAAAAGAAAACTTTCCAGCACGGCATGGAAAGGCTGCCACAGGTGGCACTAGGGCATTCAGCTTGAAGGGGTCATAAAACGCTTTTCAAGCTTACTTTTTCCTGTTTGGCTTTCCTCAACTCATAAATCGTGCAGTCTACCAAACTGTTCAAGAAGACTAAAAGAGGGGAGTCCCCTCTAGCTCGGAATCTCGTTTGTATAGCTGGACAGAGCCATTCTCCCCCTAGAAGATTAGCCCAGCGCTGAAAATTCAGACAAAAGTTGCGTTCCCCACCGCATTCACCCCGAAGTTGACAGTGTTGTGGAAGCTACGTGCTCGTTGGGCCAGGCACACTTGCCACGTGATCACGCTCTCTCGCACAGAGAATGAGGTCTGGTGATGAAAGGGAGGCGGCTGATTGGTCGGGCAAGCGCATAGCTTCCACTGCAATGTCAGCCTAGCGGTGAAGGGAATAAGTAAGGTCCGGTATCGGGTGACATGCGTTTGGACCCGGTGACACGCTATGGTAACCGCGGATGTAGCACAGTGAAAAGGCAGAAAGCTTACGAAGGTACGAAATAGTCCGCTGTGTTTTCAAATTTTCTCACAGGAAGTCAGGCTTTTGACTTTCTACCTTTTTTTCTTTTGGTCCACTGAACGATGTGCTATTAGTAAAATCCCAATCTAAAGTGATCTATACCAGCCGAAAATAAATATTTGAATTGGTCGCATTTAACCTTAAAATAAAGTGTCATGGGAAATTTTCATTGAATGTGTGCAATGCCACACAGAAGCTCAGAATTATTGTGAATATGAATAAGTATGAGGCATCTGTGTTTCGATTCCTATGTCACAGGGCAGAGAATGGACAAGAATTATGTGCGTCCCGCTACACACTTAGTGCGAACAAGCCATCACCTGTTTTCATTGTATTCTTAGTATTGTAGGCTCAGTAGAAACACTAACCTAGTATAAAATACCGGGCAAGCACCCACTCAAACTTTGGAGATAATCGCAAAGAAATGGGGGATGAGCCGTATGTACCGTGCTTATTTTTGAGATTTTACAAATTTGGGAGTGGGCGCTTAGTGTGGAATGGGCGGACACTCGGTATTCTATGGCAAGCCGTAAATTTTGATACCAGGCAGTACACCTTCCAAGTAAAATGCGAAAAACCGCCGAAGTTGTGTTCGCACTAACAGTGTCGCAAGGTGTACAAAAATTTAAGAACCCTCCCCCCACATACCACCGGTGTCCTGTAGCAACGGCGAGGGTCGGAAACATCAGCCACAGCTGTAGTCCCATTGGAGCTCGTTGCTCCGTTGTTGAGAAGAATCCCAAGTCCTTGAAGCTTCCACCGCTCATACTTCGCTTTAAAACGAAGTGAACGGTGCCAGGAGTCCTAGAATGTTCAGGATCATTACTGAGCACTAAGAGATATTCACATGTCATGAAAAACACTTACATATCCTGTACCAATGCTGTCCCGAAGGTCGGGATGCTTGAGGATGAGCTGCCGTGCGGCTTCAGCGTAGAGCCTTCCAGGATAACTGAAAAGTTTCACATAAAATTCTCAGTGCCATAACCTTGATGTATGTCTTGGAGTTAACTTACAGACTGTACTCGCATAAAAGGTGATATATCCACTGGATTATTCTTTTTCTGAGTGTATTTGTCAGGCAGGCCTTATCTTTCTGGGCTTTCAATGAAAGAACAATGTCTAATGGGAAGTCTGGAAGGACAAACTCCAAGTCCGAACGCAGTTTGCACCCCTTCTGTGCCATTGTTTGAAACCACAACACTAGATGGTCTGAAACAGAAAAAGACCTATGAACATCTGCAAACTCTGGTCATTGTAATTTATCAGCACTGTTAAAATCAAAGAACATAACCTTACTCTGCTTCAATCCCAGGGGCATTTCTCTTTTGAACCAACATGATTTTTCCTTTATCTTCTAGAACTGCTCCGCAGTCGTAGTCCACATAGGCCTCGAAGTCCTTGTCAAACACCTGATGGCGAGAGTACACAGAGGATGTAGTAAACATTGCTATCCAGTTATAAACATAGTCGTGAAGGGGGGCGGAGGTAAATTAAAGAAATAAAAGTGCAAGAGCTCTTTCATGAGCAGGAAATGGTTATGTGGGCTGTCATCAAGACATTGTTTGCCTAAGGTGGGCTTGCTCCAGCAATTTCGAGGTTGCTGGTGGGTTGCTCCCTAGCTTTCCCTATATCTACACGCGAGCAGCCCTGACAACTCCGAGACTTTTGAAGCGGCAGCAGCCGCTTCAAACGTCTTTTGACGTTTGAAGCGGGTGCTTCAAACGTCAAACAAAAAATCTTTTATTAATTTAGATGCATAGCTGAAAGTCTGCCATGCATTATAAACCTGTTTATATTTTCACAAAATTCACGTGAAAACCCCCGTAAAGGGAAGTATGTTGACAAAAAACATGAAGATGAGAAAATGGAAGTTTTGACATTGAACATAGAAAATTGTGTGGAGAATGAAAAACAATAATTGCCGTGAAGGTGTAGTGTAAGTCTTCCTGAACAACTCGACATAAAAAATGTAATCCATTGATGGGAACATTAGGAAAAAAAAAAAAGTAAAGAATGAGTGAAATGTTGATAAAATCACATTGGAAGGAAGTGGGATCTCAAAAAATATTTTTTTTGTTCATTGGTCTATCTGGGATTTTTTTGTACAGGCATGCAGTTTACTATATTGATTCCATAACTGCAATCAGATTTGAGATCTCTTTGTCAAAAGTTGTCAACAAAATAAAATATTAATTAGTTCATTTTAAAATGGGTTTTAAAGAATCTTGCTAAAATTTAATGCAAAAGGTATCACGTCCTAAAGAAATGTCATACAAGCTAAAGCCATTTTTGCAAGATAATGAAAGTGAACAGAAGACGTAATAGAGGCCACAAGAATGTCTAACAATGAAATGCCAGTTCTATATACCAAAAATATCATAATGAAAATAGCTCTAGCTTGCAGTCTAGTTCATTTCAAATAAAATAGTACCGAGTTTATGAAAATCGGTTGAGCGGAAGTGAATCAAAAAGCCCACCAGGCCGGAGGATAGCTGGGAAAATAGACTTGGACGTATGGGTATGCATACCCAACAAATGTTGAAGCTTTATATGAGATGCCCTTGGTTTGAATTTCACACTAAAGAGGCACGGGGAGGGAAAGCAGCCCCTTATGCAACAATTCGTTAGCCCTGAGGCATGGGCGAAGTTGTCGAACACGAACTTGATCCAGTTGCTTCTATCAGCGGTAGAGCGAGTTGCGGCATCGGCGAAGGCTTTCGTCGATGCGGCACGTCTCCTCGTAGTGTTTAGCCTCTGCGTGTTGACTTTCAAACCGGCGTCCCCAGTCATCGAAACTCAAAGCGCGCAGAACTAAACAAGCAGGAAATCAAATATACGCGAAAAAGGAAAGCTAAACAAAAAGGAGGTATCAAAATATTTACACGAAGGACGCAAAGACAGGGAACATACGAAACACTAGGAAGCAGAAATAAAACCCTGAAATTATCGATATAGAAAGCTGAGAAATGCGAATATAACATGTCTCGAACGGCGAAGCGAGCGAAAGCAGACGACGCGGGAGCCCGCGGAGCGGCTGGGACGCCGCGCCGGGGAAGTTAGGAGAGGGGTCGCGCGTCTCGGTCAATGAGAGAGCTGCGCCTCGGAGGAGCGCGCGCTTTGCCCAATCAGCGCATTTCCAGCACTCGGGAAAGATAAGCGCGGGAAACTAGCTTCCGAAGAAGGCTAAAATGGAGGTCAGACGCTTGAACTTTGTCGACATTTCAGAGTTTAGGCTTCAAGTCGGGTTCGTCAACGCTTACAAATTGTCACTTTTTCTATTTAGAGACCAAATGGAGCATCTATATTTTGTGAGGATATACTCTTGAACTATATTGACCAATCGTACATTTTGAAAAATTGAATTTTTCGCGATCTTTTTTTATATGTTTATTTGCGTCTCACACTCCCCCGTGATACTCGCGCCCTCCGAAAAGGGTGACCCGACGCGCAATACAGCATCTCGACGCAAAAGGTTACAAGGGGCACACGAAAACACACCGACACTTCTGCGTTCGCATACCAAGATGTTTAAAAAAAAACAAGTCATCCTAATTTTATGTCTAAAATATAAAAGCAGAGCAATTGCCAACTTGCCTGAATTAATGTAGAGTTAATGTCAACATCCGGAAACTTTTGCTGAAACTTTTGAAACTTTTGTGAAACGTATTGCTTGCCTCAGTTCACTCTCGGCACACTTCTCTTGCAGGTCGATAAACTCGATTATGTTCTTCGAACGCAACGAGTAGGTGCATAGTTCCTCCTAAACGGGCGTTGGGACCTCTCGAAAAAGCTGCCCGCTCCTCGGCTGTGGCAACAACGACGGCGACAACGACGGCGACAACGATGGCGACAACACAACACAACAACGGATACCGACTTTTCCGCCCACCGTGTTCCCGCCTTTTTCGCTTCCTGCGGTTCTCCAGTTTCTCGAAGGACGCGACAACGACGGCGACAACGATGGCGACAACACAACACAACAACGGATACCGACTTTCCCGCCCACCGTGTTCCCGCCTTTTTCGCTTCCTGCGGTTCTCCAGTTTCTCGAAGATCATGACGCGGACCACGCGGCTGCCGCGGCGCAGTGGCAATGGCGTCCTCGCTTTTTCGAACATTGAGGGACGTTAGGTGGAAAGAGAGGGCCAATTGCGTACGCGCACGTAGACCCTAGCAACAGCGCTCACGCCGGATTGGCTGACGCTGACGCCGTCTACAGGTCTACATAGGCAGCCGTTTGAACGCAGAAACGCAGCGTCTTAATCTTTTTTTTTTTTAGCATTAGGCGATATTTACATTTCTTTTTTACGACTAACATTGAAAGAAATGAATGCTGACGATGAAACTTCGCTGAACTAAATGGTATGGACACCTCGCCGACCTCTTCTAGATGGATATATAATAATGGCTATACCCTTTGTAACGGGCGGCAGCTTGCGCCAGCTAGCCTAACTTGCGCCTTTGTCTGATTTATTCCCATTTTACCGAGCGCGCTACGAAGTACTGTATCAAAGCAAATTAATCGTTTTAGAGGCTTTCTTTCGTGTCTTGTCTCGAGAAGGCGTAGGCTAACTACAAGCACTAAATCGCCTTAAACTGGTGGTAATATTGTGTGCCCCGCGCCCCGCTTCATGTGTATTGTGTACGTTCCAGGTTTGCGTTCGCGTGCGGGGCTGTATTTCATCTGTCGTTGTTTACTCTGAAAGTTCTTTCGTGTAAGCAGCTGCCATGCCTGTAATATACTGCCCCCTCTGCCCCTTCTATGATGTGAAATTTGTACGAGTTGTAAATCACGTAGGTCAGGTCCATGCAAGTGCACACAATTTCAAAGTGACCTGTGGTTTGGACAACTGCGTGAAAGTATTCAGCTGCTTCCAGACCTATAGGAGGCACCTTTACCGGAACCACAACATGCTCCACACCGAGTTCAGCTAGGATGACGCAGCCCAGTCAACACCAAGTGCCAGTGCTTCAGCTACAGACTTTGATGAGGGCACCGAGCCTATTACACAGCCTTGTGACAGCGCAAAACTCGAGAAAGAGACGCGGCCATTTTTGGAGGTGAAAAGGACATTATTGCTTTTCCATCTCAAGATGACTGAAGGCCTGAAGCTGCCTTATAGTACAGCAGATACTATTTTTGGAATGGTTAAGCTGTTGCTTTCTGCAACCCTCAAGGAGTTTGCAGAGGAGGTCAACAAGAAGCTGACGACTCTCAAGGCTGATCTGCCAGGCTCTGACATCAACACACTGCTTCAAACAGAAGGCCTAGTGGATGTTCTGTTTTCTGGAATCCAAACCAAACACCAGCGAACAAACCTTGTCAAAAAAAGCCTTCCGTACACCGAAGCAAGAGAAATTCAACTGCAGCAAGGTGGGGCTCCAAAAAGATCTTTTCAATATGTGCCCATTCAAGACGTACTCCAAAATCTGCTCACCTGTGACGACATCTACGAAAGTGTGGAACAACCTCCTAGCCAAAGAAAGGACGGCATGTTGAACGATTTCAGCGATGCCAACTTCATCCGAGAGCAGCAGAAAAAGGTACAACTTGCTGGAGACCAGCAAAGCACCATTTTTCTTCTTCTTTACACCGATGAACTGGAACTGAACAATCCACTGGGATCTGCAGTGGGTAAACACAAAATTCTCCTTGTCTACTTCAGCATCCTGAACATACACCCACGGCACCGTTCCAAGCTGAGCTCTATACATCTGCTCATTATTGCCCGATACTCGACGGTCACGGATTTTGGGTTGAAGGTCCTCTTGGAGCCGCTCATTAAGGATCTCAACATCTTGAGGACACACGGGTTTAGAATGCACAACAAACCATTTAAAGTATGCGTCGTTGCAGTGGTTGGCGACAACCTTTCACTTCATCGTCTGGCTGGCTTAACGTGCTCCTTCAGTGGCGGGCGTGTGTCCCGCTTCTGCTTAGCAAAGTATGAAGATTTACGTGATCTTGTCCTTCCCACCCAATGTGTTACAAGGTCGGGTGCATCCCATGCCAGTGACTGCTGCATTTCTCCTGGATCCTGCACGCAATGGTAAGATCTACGGCATCACAGGTCCGTCCCCACTTGCGTCTTTGGAGGGGTTTGACATCATGAATCAACTACCCCCAGATTCCATGCATGATGTCCTGGAAGGTGGGATTGCAGTTGTGGTCAAGGCCGTACTGAAGGGTCTCGTAGATTCAAAGGTTATCAAGAAAGACGACTTGAATCGCATTGCTCAGTTTTCCTACGGACAACATGACAAGAAGTCGAAGCCTGTGTTTGATCCCGACAAGTTTTTGGCTCCATCTGGCAACTTGAAGGGGACCGCTTCCCAGAAATTGTGCCTTTTGCGACTGTTGCCTCAGATTCTTGGAGACTTGATTCCACAGAATGATAGCAACTGGAATGTGTACACAGCGTATCGGCACATTGTGGGCATAATTCTCTCGGATACAATGCCAAGGGACTGTGCTGCATACCTCGAAGTAAAGGTCTCGGAGTTTCTCCGCCTCTTCACAGAGCAGTATCCAGACAAATCCCTGACCCCAAAGCTACACTACCTCCTACACTACCCCAAGTATATCTTAGAATTTGGACCACCCCGCAGATACTGGGGAATGAGGTTTGAAGCCAAACATTCTTATTTTAAAGGACTGGCATCAAAAGTAAAAAACCACAAGAACATCTGCAAGACCTTGTGTCAGAGGCACCAACTCCTGCAGGCGTACCAGATATCTTCTGCTACACTGAGTCAGCCTATTGATGTGTCTGGAGTGGCCGTCGTGAAAACCGCATCACTTCCTGAGGAATTTGTGGTTTTGCTTCCCCAAGGTTTGAGAGAATTGGATTCTCTGAGCTCTGTCAAGACAGCTGCTTTCAACAACTGCAGCTACAGGGTTGGCGATGGATTTGTTCACTCAGTCGATGAGGGCAACCCTAGTTTTGCGGAAGTGCATGGTCTTTTCGTTGCCAGTGGAACGTTGATCATAATGGCAAAAAAGCTCGCCACTGTTGAAGTTTCAAAACACAGATGTTCCTACATCGTCCTGCGTCGTGATGATGCAATGTGTGTAATACCGAACTTCCAATTTGACTATTATCCACTGGACTTTTACCCGTACGGCAGTTTTCTCGAGGTTGTGCCTCATTACGATATATTTGTGTAATCGGGATGTGGACTGCATGTGAAATGGTTGTGTTAAATACATTTGCATATTGTTTTTTTCTATCCTTTTTGTGAAATATATTTATGGTTGAAAACATTTTGCATTTCCTCTTAACATTTATTAAAAAAATGACAAAGGAGGAATTTATAGAATTTAAAGTGAAGTCAATGGATGTTATTAAAAGAAAATAGGAAAATGAAGAATAAATAGTACTGTATTAAAAATAAGGTGTGAACAAAAATGATCTCTCTTATGTCGTCTGCCTCAGCTACCTACCTTCTCTACCAAAAACAAAACAAAAAAAGCTCTACCATACAATATGATAGTTGCAGCACTTGACATGCACATAGATTTAAAGAGCGGTCTGAAGGTCCTAATTGTATAAAGAAATGCAAACCAATTAGATATTGGGTGTTTATATTTTAAAGTAACTGAGACTGCAAAATGCTCCAGCTAAGTAATGGTAAATAATCTAATGAACCTCTAGGATCTTGAACCTCCACAGAAGTCGCACTGACTGGACAGATCTTTCAAGAGGTTCTTTCTTAAAATATTCCATCTTGCGCCTCCACTGTATGGAGACAATTTGGTCAACGCAGTGTAACAGCTAACTGCTAGTTCTGTTGGCAATGAGTTTTACGAATGACATTTCATGAACAGATTGTTTCGTCAACATGCGAGGTTTTATCAACACGTTTCGTCGAAAGATGCCCTGGCATGCTTTATGACACATTCTGTGACGTTCCGTGCACATCGCATTGGCTGTCAGTATACTAATCGTAGCGTAGCTTGCCGAACCCTGGGCGGTTCTGATTGGGCTAGGCACAAGCTTGAGCCTGAAATTGTAATTCGTTTGCCCCAAGTGAAGTAGAGCAAAACAAAGATGCCCTGGCATTAATCCCCCCTCTAAAAACTCATCGTCCTGATGTGCTCTAGAGGAAAACAAAGAAACTGAATTGCAGACTACACACATCTGTAAAACACAGTCCTAACAAGCGTAGCGTGGGCACACAGTTCAGAGTCCTATCAAATGTAGTATGGCTTGAGGCACACGACATGGACTATTTTGGGTCACGGGTGGCGTCGTCTTGATGGTCGACTTCCGTCGGGAAGCACCTCATTGGTTTTAAGGGGTGCTGAACCGAAATCTGGATTCCACAAAGCATGGCGGCAAAAGCGTGCAACGGGATGCTACAAACATCAAAACATGGCAAGCGGATTAGGAGAGAAAACACTGTAAAATATCTCGGTGTCATTATCAACAACAGAGTAAACTGGCAACCTGCTGTAAAAAAAAGTCTTATCAGAGTCTGAAAAGCTTCTCGGTGCAATCCAACGCATCGCCGGTTGTGACTGGGGAAGCAGTCAAAATACAATGCTGAGCCTTTATAGGGGACTTATTGTAAACCGCTTCCTCTACGCTCTCCCTCTTCTGACAACATCAAACGCGCAATGGAAGAAGCTCGAACTCTTTCACAGGAAAGCTTTACGCATATGCTTGGGCCCCCTGCCTACCTACACTAATAGACCCTTTCAGAAATTCAGTGCCATCTGGTGGTTCGTAAAGCAGTTGAGGTTTTGCCCTATCAATGGCGGAAATGAACTTGTATCGGCACCGTCACTTTCGCAAGTCGACGGCACGCGAGGAATTATTCAGTGTGAGTTCTTTCTCGATCACTTTCAGGTCGATGGTGACCAAGAACGTGCATTCAGAACAAAGCTCCAACCCACTGAGATGCCTCGAGAAAATTCTATACACCAAAGTGCTTTAAAGCCGATTGTGTGCCGCGACAGATTGACTGAATCTGAGCAATTAGAAATAAACGCTTACGTAGCTCTTGTGTTCCAGCCCTACTTCGTTTCGTACTGACCCCCGAACGTACAGGCCTCGCAATATCCGCTTAGGAGCATCTTCAACGTCTTCCTTTATCAGTCACTAGAAGGCCGCCATTCGTATGGCACAGATGCCGTTCCACAGATGATGATAGTGATGATCAAAGTGGCCAGACTGAATTTCGGAAAGGGTCTATTGAAGCAGGGGATTTACCACTAGAGCTGCAGGCCCATGAGAGGGCTCTATGACACATGACTAGATTTCACCGTGCCCAGTCAACTTCCAAATTCATCGACAAACTAGCATCCCGACAGCATTCTCGCTTAAGTCAAGTCGCCAAAGCTTTCCGTGACTCAATCGACTATCCGGAAAACGTCCCACCTCTGCCGCCACCACATCAGGAGTTACTCTTCAAAGTTGACACTGAGATTCTTGACCTACCACAACGTCGGCGGGTAGCAGTGGTGATATCCCGGAAAATTACACTAGAACTAATACACACAGATTACGATAGAATGTTACACATTTACACTGATGGCAGCATTAAGAACAACACAGCTGCAGCAGCGTACGCTGTCCCCGAACTTGGCCTCAGCAACATGGGACAGCTTGATACTTGCTTCGACACCACAACAGCTGAATTAATGGCTATCTGGCTAGCAATCACCGAGACACCCCTCCCTCCAGCTCCCCGATCGGTTGTGGTGTTTACGGGTTCAAACGGAGCATTACGCCAACTCATGAACCTGGAGTATGCTTCCCCTCTTGCTCGAACAACTGCAGAACTTGCACAAACCGCAGGCAGAAATGGAAACACCTTTTACTTTCAATGGATTCCTTCCCACGTTGGCATCCAAGGTAACGAAGAAGCTGATGCTCTTGCCACAGCTGCCCACTCCGACAGCTCACCAAGTTTTTTTGTGCATACAAACTATTCGGCCAATTCTTTTATTCAAAGAAGCATTAGAATGCTACACCCCGACCCTGAGACAGCAGCAGGATCTCCTCCAGATCTCATTCCGAGGAAAAAATTTAAAAGAAAAGAACAGGCGCTTCGTCATCGACTTCGAGTCGGATGCGCCAACACAAGAGACTCCACCTCATTCGGCGCTCCTCTCCCCCGCTATGTGAAGCCTGCAACGTGGTGGAAGACCTTGACCATATTTTATGGACGTGCCCACTACTTGCAGACTGTCGTAAAAACTTCCTTGGAAATGTGAACATAGTCGCCATACCTTCTCCGAATACGACAAAGGTTTTATTTCCAACGGGATCACGTGTAGTGCGAACAAGTGTTCTTCGAGCGGTCCGTGACTTTTTGTCGTCATCAAGAAGAATCGCATCCCAACTATGATGTATACTTACTCCCCTCCCTTCCTCACCTCTGTCCCTCTTTCACCCCACTTCCCAGCAGGGTGTTACAGCTGTCCCCTCTCCTGGGAGACTAACCTATCACCCTGCATCCCACCACTTCTTTTGGATTATTTTATTAAAAAAACATCACCACCACCCACCACTCATACAATGATATATCGAACAGATGACTGTGTTCTTCAAGAAAAGGAGGCGCATTTGACAGATATGTTTTCATCTTGTTGCTTCGAGAAGGAGAGGGAACTGCCTCGCGTCTTCTTGCCCTCGCCGTCTTGAGGGGGATAAACGAAGAGAGGAGAAATGAGACATTTTGACGTCACGCGCCTCGTCGGCCTCGTTCAATCTCGACCTTTTTTTTCCAAAAATACGGCCGTCGATTCGAGATATCACCTTATGGGTAGTGTTGTGGGGATTGTAGCGTCCCGCCTACAGCTCCTGCATTGCTTTCTGAAATTTAAATTTCGGTTCACCATCCCTTTAAGTCTCCAAGACGGCGAAGAACCCTGTAGGGTCCAAAGTAACGCTTGAGAAGCTCCTCGCTGAATTGGTTTCCAGATTGTTTTGTTGAGCTGCTCCGTCAACCCGTTAGTCTGTGGATGGCATAGACCAACACGCGGCCCTGATGTCACGCAGATGCGGCGGCGCGGTCGACGGCACTGCGCATGCGCAGACGCTTCACTCCTCCCGAATTGGGTTTCTGCGCACGCACAGCGCCCACACCTTCTATGGGCAAACGCGGGCGTGTTTGTGAACAGCGTGTTGGTCTATACAGTTTTTCAACGGTGGTCCAAGTGGATTAGACGAAGGATCACTTGGGTCAACTGCACCATGTACGATGACCCTCGGTCTGTGATAAGGACTTCGAGGGCGCCATGCTGGAGGGCGATGTTTCGATGAAGAACTTGGCAATTTGGACGGCAGTCCCCGACGGAAGGGCTTTCGTCTCGGCATAATATCTACGATAATCTGTGGCGACGATTATCCAGCGGTTTCCCATTGCTGACAATGGAAAAGGAACCAGCAAATACATTCCATTTTGCTGGAACGGCTTGGTTGGAGGGGTAATCGGCTGATAAAGACCTGTTGACTTTGACGGCGGTTTCTTGCATTGCTGGCACTCATGGCACAATCGTGTATAGAGATGGACAGTCTTCGGAAGCTTGGGCCAGTAGTATCTTTCACGTATTCAGGCTAGTGTCCGGCTGCAACCTAGGTGTCCTGAAGTCGAGTCGTCGTAGCAGGCTTGAGAAATCTCTTCTCGAAGGCTGGTAGGGGCTACCAGAAGCCACGGCGAAGAACTGATTCCGAAATTCTTATAAAGTACACCTCTCCGAGTAGCGAAGGTCGGCAGGGCTCATGAAAAGACACGAAGAACGGTACTTACTCGACTTTCTAGATGCTCAATCAGGGCGTGCAACTCCGGATCGTCTCGCTGAAGTCCAGCCTTGTCGTCGGTGTCCACAGCATCTAGGAAACACTTGTCGTCAGGACAGCCTGACGTTTCGACGGGGGCTCTGGACAGGCAGTCAGCGTCACTATTTCTGTCCCGACTTGTAGACCACGGTCATATCGAATCCTTGCAGTTGAAAACTTCATCGAGCAAGGCGTCCTGGAGGGTCTTCGAGATTCGCAAGTCAACAGAGCGAGTGGTGGTATGTGACCATGCGGAACGGATTCCGGTATATATACGGACAAAACTTTGTGATCGCCCATACGACCACAAGACATCCTTTTCCGTCGTAGAGTAATTTTTCCCCGCCTTCGACAGCGTTCGACTTGCGTAGGCAACGAC